TATGAATACAATAAGTGCAACAAACTAATATGAATACAATAAGTGCTGAGTGGAAGGCTCAGGGTAGTACTTCTTGAAGAGGTGAGTTTTCAGCCTGATGAAAGATGGGCAGCGACTCTGCTGTCCTGACGTCAGTGGGGAGTTCATTCCACCACTGTGGGGCCAGGACAGAAAACAGCCGTGATCGGGTCGATCGGAGACATGTGTTGATGGAGCTGACTCTAAGGCAGCGAAGGACAAACTGTGGTGGAAAGTTGGACAGACACTGGTTGTCCATGGGCAGAAATGTCCACATCCACATACCTTTGGCCATATAGTAGATGTGTATTCTGAGGCTAATGGAAACCAAAAGGTTGAGAGTTCACAATGTAACTATAAAATGTGGACAAATGCAATGTGTGTGATGTGACTTTTACTTTTGACGGGGTCTGATGAAAGGCTTTCAAAACCTGTGGCACATACAGTGACTCACCTTTTCTTCTGATAGGCATGGCTGACTCTGTGTAAACTTGACTCTCTCTAACTCTTCCAGCTCCGTCTTCAGTGCATGGTCAAGATGTTCTTCCTCTTGGTGGGATCACACAAAACAGGAAGGGTTCTGATAAAAGCAGCTCTTCTCCAAGCACTCTGAGAGGAGAACCTAAACAAGAGTCCAGGTACCACAAGGAGGGGGTCTCCAAGAGGGTCTGTGTCCAGTGAGGAAGGTTAATTCCACAGACTAGATTTTAGCACAACGATGTCATGTGATCACAGGTGTCTCCATACCAACAGTAATCCACAAGAAGCTCAGAGAGGATCCCTGCAGTGATGCCTCATCATCTTGTATCTGCTGGGTCCGTTCACTCATTCAAGGCTCCTCTGCTTTAAAGACATTCTGCACGTGAGGCTGCGTATTACTTCTGTCAGGTTCCTCCTCTGGCTGTCCAGCTGGCAGACCACAGGCGTGCCTGGTCATGATGGATCCACTGCTGGTCCAAACATCCTCTCTCAGACAATGCAGGACCAGAGACAGACGGTGGACACCAAGCCGCGAAGTCCTCACAGTCCTGATGAAGAGAGTAGAGAAGCTGCACCGGGTTAACACCCGGTCCTGGCTTGGTCCTGTCTGTCTGTAAGCCGTCAGTTATCCTGCCCGACAGTGCATACCTGAAGTTTCTCAGACAAAGCGCAGGTTAAAGGTTCCACGACACTCCAAAGAAGAAAATGAATGTCGAGTTTCAAAAGTCAGTTGTCCCCGCGTTTTCCTTTAAGATTTACCGTTGGGACATGGCAGCTAACGCGTAGCAGTCCCTTCACAGTTGGTGTCTGGAGGTGGGACTGATGGAGGACATGTGTACCGCACCCCATGAGGCGGATAACGATAAGTGATGAAATACAAAACTAAACTCTAACGCCGCCTGCTAATGGTGCTCCTACGGATAGATAGAAACATGCGTGTTATTCATTAGTTAGCTAGCATCCATGCTACACCAGCAGCCAGCGGCGGGCTCAATGAAACGCTTTCCCAGTGCGACGCCTGGCTGTAGGAAAATACCTGCCTGCCAACTGTGGGAGAAAACGCATGGCTCTCAAATGACTCCATGTATTTTCATATTCCGTAAAATTGTGACTGCATTCGCCGGACATTTCCCCTGATGAAGAACAGCACTGTCCTCGAGCTGCCACATCTCTTTATTATTTAACCAGGTACGGTACAGCGTTACGCTAGCCATATGAACTGACAGCATCACCAACAGTTTGAAGTGCCAGAAACAAGCTAGCCACAATAACACGCGAAACTTCCGCTTATCGATTTCACAATAATACACTCGTTAACGATACACGTTTACAGTTTTGAAACACATTTGCAGCTTTAGCAAACGGCTGTCTAGATTTGTACATTGATATGAATAATATGTACTGAAGAGACACATTGTGAGTTAAATTATTAAGGTAATTGAATTGCGAGCCAATGCAATAACAATGCGATCTTTAAATATGAAACACTCATACATACAGACCATCGTAGTTGATGTACGGCTTTTAAAACATCATCAACATGGAACAATATTTTATTTTCAATGTGTTTCACTTCTGCTTTCTCTTTGTGCACACATTTATCTACCTCCAGAGCAAAACCGGCTATGTTTTAAAAAACATTAATTTTAATGCTATAAATTATTAAAAAGGTTCGTCTAAACAAATTAGAAACCGTAATACTTTGGCAGATATTGTGGAATAGGCCTATGATTTTGATGATAAATTGATTGATGGTAAATGAATGTTCCAGGACGCACTCCTCTTGCCACCACTGTCAACATTGCATGCTGAAAGAAACATGGCAGCTCTCCTTATCCTTTCATTTGGTGATATAGTTCCAGGCCAAGATTTCAGTACATATATGAAATGCTTTTGGCTCATCAAATAAACTTAATAAGAGTCCGTATAAATCGTTTTATTTTCCAAAAGTGACACGCGCTGTAATTTTATTTTGAAGGCAAAATCACCTGCCTGTAGTGAGAAATACGTTTAGGTTGATGCAGCTGTTTACCTTAGCAACGCAGAGGCTGGTCGCTGGTTAGCTGGCTCCCGTCTGGATTGACAAGACGGGACAACCAATCGTATAATGCAATTTCTTGTCGCATCAGGGCGGATCAACCAATGACATGGCTTTAGACCTGTGCGAAGGTGAGAGTTGAAATATTGCTGCATTAATTGTACTGTAGGAAATATGGAACTTCTACCAATTCTACTAATTATTATTCTGACTTCCCTGACTAGGCTTGTAATATAAATATAGAATTATTATTAGTGTGTTCAGTGAAACAAAGTATAAAAAATAACTGAACTAAACTTCGAAATCCCAAATATAAATACATGTGTATTCTTAAAGTTTGCATATGTTTTCTGGTGTTTAATTAAAGTAACATTTTATTCTGAGACTTTTATGGTATGACAGATAAAGAGATAAAACAATATAATCTTGAGTGAGCCTCATATTTTAGATTCACTGTGTTTCCTGGCCCTTGCAGTCATTTCCAGCCAAGTGTTGTCTCTCTGGAGGCCTCACAGTCTGTGTTAAGCCACTATCTACTCTTATATTTATAATATTTTGCAGTTATTACTGAAAAAAATCACAAATTGACATGATACTGCATCTGCAATACAGCTGACTATCGTGGAAAACTACTAGAAATCTAATGATTCATTGCTGCTACCAAGGTGACTATTTATGATTATGATGACAGTTACTATCTGATGAAGAACTTAACTGTTAGCTGTTAACTCCTATTTCGAAAGTGTTGACTTCTCTAACATGAATGAAACATGAATTTAACAACTTACCCATTATCTTCACAACAAATCACAAGTCCCATTAATATACTGTTTATTGAAGATAGAATAGGTTGAACAAGACTGTATACAATTCATTAGTGCTCAGATCAAAACAATTTATATGTTGCATAACTTACATTGTATTATAAATAATTAACTCCTTTTAAATTGACAAATGTAACATGTGGTTTGGGCTATATAAATTAAAGTACCTCGTGTATATACTTATCATACAATGATCATCAATTATACAGATGCACACACATTGCTCACTAATGCAGCTGCGTCCACTCAGTGTAGACTATAGTTAGTTGATCTATCCAAATGTGCATGCAGTGTGCTCCCATAAAGTTTCCACACATTTATCAACACATTGTGTACAATCTCACTTTGACATGCTTTTTGCCATTACCAACATTCTCAGAGGTAAAGCATCCTCCACCCATTCACCATCAGACTGTAACATCCTCTGCCATAAATTTGCTTCATCTGTCGTTGAATCCATCCAGATCACTTCCACCCCGTAACTCTTCCCTGCACAGAAAGGCACATATGAAGGTAATACTTGAATAATAAAATGAAAAGAATATTTACTTGCAGAATGGCAGTTTTATAACAAAAAACTAATGTTAGAATGATTGATTTTTATATGGGAGGCTGAATCAAAGACCCCATTTATACCTGAAAATAAAATGCGGTCTGCATGTCTTATATGTGCAAAACGAATAGAAGAAATGAATACAACCCTCACTGTGATGGGGGTGTGAGTGGATATCACAAACCTACTCCAGACGATGCAAAGGTGTAAACGATAGTGTAATTGTATCTGGACAGTATATCCAAACTCAATGTGAACTGAGTGCATCCAAATTCAGATCACACTGTCATCCCAGGTGTTCATCAAACTGTAATCCCAGGTGTTATACCAAACTGTAATCCCAGGTGTTATACCAAACTCTATATCAAAGGTATCCAGATTGCAGCTGTTACCATGTTGAAAATAGCAACAGTGGAATTGAACCTCACCTGTCCCCAAACCAAGCCTCAGGCCGCCAATGTAGTGGTTGTTCAGTCGGTCGTGATCCCACACTGTTATCTCCACACAGGCCTCTCTGAGGTCCTCCGATCGGAAGCCATCGTACACCATGGTGTGGTTGAACATCGGGTTGGCCGTCCTCTTCACCACCCGCGTCTTCTGTCGACTTTTCCGGCTCGTGTCAGGAAGTACGGTACTGCAGCAGAAGGAAAGGAGCAAGATCAAATGCATTTTCATTTGGAAAGACAATACAGGGTTTATTGCAGTTCATCTTGATTTTATTCAAGCAGTTTTCATTTCTAGATGTCCCTGTCTTCATTTCACAGTATGATTGGATGTCGCTTCGGACTGAATGAGCGAAAGTCAATCACATAACTGGCTGTGCTTTGTTTGTCTTGATTGACAGAATTATGTTACATGAAATAAAAATCACCAGCAAAAAACTCTGTTGTGTGAAAGGAAATTAAATGTTTTTTAAATGTATTGGATTATTTCACAATTTCACAGTTATATTTTGTCTTTTTTTTTTGTCATAATGTTTGATTCATTTATTGAATTCTGAACACTTAAGGTCTCCGTTCAGTGACCTACAGTTTGGATGAAATCCTACCATTTCACAAACGGGTCGATAACGACTCCTCTGACTGGAGGAAGATTCTTGCAGTCTTTTACCCAAATCTGCACCTCACCAGTCTCCATCCTAGATGTTCTTTTACCTGTGGATGCAGTCAGACCTCAATAATCGCTAAAATTCAAAGGAAAGAATTTATGAAATCTGAGGAGTCATCAGCTCACTGCGGGATGTCTGCAGCAGGAATCTCAGGGCGACTCTCATTTGTCCTCTGCTGGCCATCAGATGTGAGGGAGACGCTGTTGGACTTTGTCCTGAGACCTGAAGGATTGAGCCGAAGTGAGTAACAGTCTAACGAATCACTTCTACACCACACACAGACTGTGTATAGAGATGAATCCTTTACCCTGGCCTTTAGTGCGTATTCATTTATGTGTGTGTTACTGAAGTCCCACTCTGACATATCCAGGTCCACCTCGCCCAGGAAACTGTTCCGCCCAAAAGTGTTGTTGTGCCACACGGAGATGTTCAAAGACTGAGTTTTCAACAATTCCATTATGATTTTAAACTATGAAAGGAGAAGAAGGCCACAAAGCTGTTTGTAAAATATGGAATACATATAATGAGAAATCTGTAAAATAATAAATATGGAATTCTTACCCTGAGGATTTCATTGTAGGTTGGGTTTAAAGATTTCTTTTTTACACTGGTTTTTCTCTTTCCCAATTTTGTCTTGTCAGGGAGAAGGTAACATTTCACATACCTGTAAAAAGACAGTGGAGTTACATTTCTATTCTCAACTAGAACAAAGATAGTGACATTTTTTTAATTCTTCAAATGACTGCAGGAGGCAACTGACAAATGTCCATTTCAAATGGTTGAGCCTCTTTTCTGATCTGCCAGTCTTCCTTCTCCAACTGTTATATCACAAATATCACTGACATTTGGTCTACCTTTGCTATATACTGTATGATCAAAATGGCAAACACTCACGGGTCAGAGCAGGTCTTCTTGGTGTCTGCCACGGCCAGATCCCTGCAGTGCACCACAAATATGTGAAAATCTCCAAGCTTCTGGATGTAATTCACAGCGAACTGGATGCTTCCCTGGACTTCAATGTCTCCAAAGTCTGCAGGGTAAAGGCTGCTGATGCTGCCGCTGACCTGTTTATATTGACACAGAGGAGAGAAAACACCATCCTCTCTGGTTTGAACTCAATTGTTTTTGTCAGGGGAAATAAATTACACAAATTACCTTGATGGTTTGTGTTTTGTTACCAGTGGCCAGTATTGTTTTCACCTTGTGAGTCTGTGTGTCATCATGACAAAATGTGGTCCTGGAGACACCGACTGTAGCAGAAAGTACCACAAGGTTTTGAGTACTTTGCCAGGTCTGCCTGTCTGTCTGTCTGTCTCTCTGTCTGTCTGTCTGTCTGTCTGTCTGTGGACAGATTGTAGTATCACTGTGATAGCGTGTGCTTAGGGTGGGTGGGAGAGGAAGAAGAACTTTTTTTGCTTCATGCACCACTGAGCTACTTTCATAGGAATGAATGGGGCTCTGCCTTCAACGCTGTATCCAGTTCTCTTTATACATCCATGGGTCAAGCAAACACAGGACTTTCATCCAGTAGACCACTGTTCATGTCCCGATGTTATACCAAGTCACATGAGTCATGAGTCTCTCTGTAGTCATGTAGTCAGTAAAGTTATTATCAACCAACAATCTGTCTTAAGCTAACTTCCTGTGACCAAGCTGCTGTATTTGATGAGTTGGGAGTGAGAATCTGATGACCGTGGAAGAAGCGGTCATGAAATTTTACAGGTGGGTAGTGTAGTGTGGACACACACACACTAAACGTCCATGGCTCGATTTACCGCCGCAGCTGGTTTGTTTTGTTTTGTTTGTCTTTAGAACCTAAACTCCATATGAATCATATTCTTTAACTAGAAAATTTCGCAGGAAATTTTGACAGTGTGGCTTCTACTGCCCGAAGACGTCGCAATATATACACACGCCAATGTTACCGGTAGTGTTGTTCAGGTTCAATTGAGATAGCGCTACTCTCTTTTCTGCATTTTAGATTCATACTCTTGGATTGAATCTTGTATTTGTGGGGTTTTTATTTTGAAAGGGTGGGACTGGGTGGGTGAGAGAGGGGCAGAGGAGACATATTCATAATGTTTGACACACAAACACAGAGGTTATTAAATGACAGGCTTCATCACAAGCATTCCAGTTCATTCTGTGGGGCTTTTATTTTGAAATGGGGGAGGGGGGGGGGGGGGGACTGTATGATAGAGAGAGACACACATAGAGAGAGACAGACACGAGGTCTAATGATCTTTCCTTGAATATCATGTGTGGATGTGTGTAGAGAGACAGACAGACAGACAGGAGGTCTAACAATGCCTTTGACTGATATCTCCAAGTCGTGTGTGTGTGTGTGTGTAGAGACAGAGAGAACCTGCATGCGTGTGTGTAACTGGTTGCCATGGTGAGGACGCACCTGGTGTTAGAGGCAGACTGATTAAGAAACGTTACAGTAAACAGTGATTTTGAACAAAACCTCCTTTTAACAGAAAGCAGGAGTCTGAGTGCCAAAGTATGGATACCGTTAGAAAGATAAGACTGCTGAACGCGCTGATGTGTTTTTTATGTTTGTGGTGTTAATAATGTGAGCTCCAGAGCAATAGACAAAACTGGTACCGTCTGCTTTCTTTGAGAAATGAGTGGTCAGATTTAACATGGAGTCTGATGGAGCAGTTGGTTGGAGTTCATGTCTCTCTGCGGCTCTTTGAGCCAAATGTGTAAGTCCGTTGGATTCCATAGACACTTTACTGCGACCAGCACAACATTTCCAAGCTTTTGGGCCAAAAATGGTGTATAAAGAGTAAAAATTGTGGGACTCGGCGCAGTTTGTTTGTAGAAATCACAGAATACTTTTCATGCTCTGCTCCACTCTGACCGTGATGTCATCACTCTAACACTTAACAAGCCGTGCAATACACACCCATTATAAAATCTGTAACGGACCCAAAATCTTCCTGAAACTTAATCTGTGACTTAATGAAAACTGTGCTAGCTATCAAAATGTCCATTTGGCTCAATAAAGTGCAGCGTTTTGTCTACGTTTTAAACTTTGAATCATGTTTCTACGTTAAAGTACGGCTAGTCAATATGGGCCCAAAGTTAAGTGTTTTTTTAGCTCTCTTACCGCCGACACCCCATTCAAGTGAATGGAGAAATCTTGCTCAGTTTTTCGGGATTTCGGGGAAACCGCTGGTCGAATCTCTCTAAAAAATACTCAGCACACTATTCCCGATCAGGCCGCCCGTTTTGATATATTTTTTGCGCAGGTGTTGGCAACGCTGTGTGAGAAGCTCAGCAAACTTTTGTACTTTCGTCCCGGAAGAATATTATTAAGGCCGATGGATTATATTCAGTGTGGCTTTGTGCTGCAAAGCCACACTGAATTAAAGGATCAGTCTGGTGATTTTCTCTGTACTTCTTATGGTCAAAAATTCACCAAAACCAACAATGAGTAAACCCAAACTTGTTTGAGTAACGTTTGCTGAAAACTACGGTGACCAGTTGTTTAAGGTAATAACCATTAAAAAAATAAATAATTATATTGCAAGTTGTTTTTAAAGATGTAATTCTTCAGTATGAACCAACAGGCTTTGAGCTGAGAGCCACAGACGGGATTATTGTCACATTGTTGGTTTTAGTCTTTTCATGGGATTTGTTGTGTTTGCATACTGATCTTTTAAAAATGAAGTATTGTAATCAGAAACTTGGTTGTCACATAACACATCAATCATCAAAGGGTTAAGATGAATTAAGTTAAAAAATGATCTTGTATCCTAGAGAACATTCAACTTTCCACAGGCTAACAAACTATATGCCCTATGTTTATTGAGCTGCATGTGGACATACAGACGACATGGAGGCCATTCCCGAGGAGAGACTTAAGTTTGATGTGGAGCTGCCCGTGTTCCTTCTCCAGCCCAAGTTAGTCTCAAAAGTGCTGTCACTGTCGTTCTGATATCAGAGAATAACAAGAACATAAAAAATGTCAGTAAGGAAGAAAAAATCACTCAAGAGAGTAAACCAATCACTTAGCTCTTATGTGATAGGTTAAGTAGGAAAATGACTGCAGTGCAGGTGTTGAACACTAGATTTATTACTTTTAAGAGTACTTTACCTCGTCCTGCTGAAGAACAGTCATGGACACACTGGTTTTCATCTGCTTTGAGCTGGAGAGAGTAGAGGCTGATGGTGGAAAAGAGATACAACGTTGAATCTCTTTCAATGACCCTATAAAACATGCTGTGTATGTCCTGATAAATGTATAATGTATGGGTGGATTGTGAGACAAGGGCCCCCTGGGCACAGACATGCAAGAGGCCCGAACAATAGGACAAAATAGTTGTTTAGTCTCTTTTTGTCCATTCAGTGGTCTTTTTGGAGTTGTTTTTGTATCTTTCTAAGGTGGTTTTGCCCATTTTTGTGGTAGTTTTGTATCTTTTTACAGTTGATTTGTGGTCTTTTTAAATCTCTTCGTAAATGTTTTGGGTCTCTAGTGACTTTGAATCTCTTTGTAGTCGATTTGTGTCTCTCTGTAGTCATTTTGTGTATCTTTGTGGTTGTTTTGCCCCTTTTCATAGTTGTTTTGTGTCCCTTTAGTCATTTTAAGTCTCTTTTGTAGTTGCTTTGTGTCGCTTTGTAGACATTTTGTGTATCTTTGTGGTTATTTTTCCCTTTTTCATTGGTGTTTTGTGTCCCTTTAGTCATGTTGTGTATCTAGTTGTTTTTACAGTTGTGAGTTTCTTTGTTGTCTCTGTCAGCTGTTTTGCACCTCTTTGGAGTTGACTTGGTCCGTTTGTAGATTTTTTGTGTCTCTTTGTCGTTTTTTTTATGTTTCTTTGTGGTCATTTTAGTCTCTTAGTCCAGGGTGGCACCTGATACTTTGGGCCCCTGGGCCTGTGCCTAGTAAGCCTATTCAGTAATCCATCCACTACATAAAGAGATGTTGACATGTTTACCGTTATCCACACTTTGATTCATTTGTTCTCTTGAGTTATTTTGGGTCCTCTCTTCTCCTAAGAAGAAATGAGACAGTAGCTATTATTACCTGTAACACATACATGTTACATGAAGTAATGCTCTAGCAATACAGTACAGCTTTATGACCATCACTTGTATAGAAGAACTATAGTCACTTAAGAAGAAAGAGCTTTGTTACTTGTTTGTGAGGTGAGGTTTTCCAGGCTCTTGGATGAAGACGTGCTCCTTGAAGATAATCGTTTAAGTACTGAAAAGATGGGACTAGTACTGTCATCATAACCTGCCACAAACAAAACTAAATCAGCTCTGGAAAAAAGACTCAACAGAGATTTTACACAATTTCTGATTTACTAAGCAAGCATCTGAAACTACGATGCTTCTGTTTGTATTAATAAAAAATAAGTGTTAGTTTATTTTGGTCAAACATTTCAGGCAAGTAAAATGCTTAGTAAATCAGTTTAAGAGGTAAAAAGGTTGCTACTGTGTCCTCATGGTAAACACTAGGAACATAACTCAACAGTGTTTTCATTTTATTGCGATGAATCAACAGGAATCATATTTATGGTAGTGATACTTCATATCTATGGCATCAGTAGCTCCATTTACCCTAAAACTAAACAAAAATATTTTCTATTGATTGGTTAAAGGGCAGTTGTGTGAAGGTACGCTTGAAGTGGAAATACATAAGAAGTATTAACGTCAATGAACACAGCAGATTGTATAAACATGTACACAGACAAATGTCTAAATAGAGGCATTTGTCAACTCTCAGTCAAATCAGACTCACTATAGCGTTAACGTGTTAACTTGGTGTGATTTGTTTGAAAAAACATCACTGTGGTATTAATTTCTCGATCATTATGTTAAGGAAATTCAAAAAAGTTGAAAAGCTCACTGCCTGAACTTGCCCGAGACAAAGACCAGGCCCTGGTCGTTGTGTTTTGGCTGGAGTTTCCATCATAATTTTGCACAATCCAAGAACTGATGCCCCGAGGATTCTCCTCAGAAGGACTGTCACTCTGGTTTCCCACAAAGTCTCTAAGGGCATTATGCAGTGTGTTTAAAGCATCATTCTCTGCCACAACAGCTCTCCCTTGGTGAAAAAGAGGGACATGCGACTTCTCTTTTGGTCCGAGGTAGTGCTGATAATCCTGAGGGATGAAAGATCTGGCGAGACGTGGAAAGGTCATCAACTTCTTCTCTGGGGCTTTTTTGGATTGTGTTAAAGTAGAGGAGCTTGAACTACATTGTTGTGTATTCACATTACCAAGGTAAGCCCCTCTGTCCTCTGGATGTGAAGGGAGAGATTGAGAGTTGATGCCTGCCCTAATGTTAGTGTCTGTCAGCACTGTCTGCTTTGCCTCATGTGCGGGACTCTTCTTCTGTCTTGGAAATGGTGTTGGCTTCCCTTGTTGCTCTTCAATGACCTTAGCTTGGGGGTCGATGTCTATTGGAAAGGTTTTCAAGTGAGAGCCTTCCAGCTCGGATCTCTTAGGACTGGAGGATTCTCTAAGCAGGACCCTTGGATGGCAGGTCTTAGATGGACTCCTCCTGACTTCGTCATCCTGGTCTTTTGATCTTGGAGTTTGGGATCGTTTAGGACTGAGGGGCCTTTCTTGATACTCAAAATCAGCCTTGACTTGATATTGGTGACATGCTGATTGTACATCCCCAGTACTACCAGAACTGACAAAACATTTGTCTGTCACTTTTGATAGTTTCAAGACGTTAGACTTGGTTTTGTACAGAGATGTCTGTGCCTCTTCCTCAGACTTCTCTCTGTTATCTAAGGAAGTTCTCAGATCAAACTGTGGAGAAACCACTTTGTTACTGAGTATTGAACTGCGTGAGGCTTCCTTGACTCTTGCAGCGATTACCCTGGGTCCTGTGTATTCCTTTTCCCAGATATGCTTAACCTCACTAATCTTGGCTGGCCTGTTCTCTTGAGGACTGGAACTGGACTGCCTGGGAAGGGGAACTGGAATGTCCCTCTCAAGCTTTTGGGTGTTGAAAGCTACACAGGAAGGTACAGGAATGATGGCGTTATCCTGTGGCTCAGAAATCTTGGACTCTGTCACTGAACCTGTTAAAGAGTCGTCTGTCTCTTCATAGATGATGACTGGATTAGCTCTATATGTGCCATCTTCATTAGATAAATCTACAAAGAAGGTACAGTCAGTTTGTGGTGACCTGTCAGCAGTGTCCTCAACTGTCATTTCCATTTGAGGTGAGAGAATGTTGTTAATGCTCTCCACATCAGAGTTGGTCTGACAGCCATGTGGAGCTTTTACTCCACTCTTAGAGAAGTCTTTTCGCCTTGCCTCTTCTCTGGTAAATATTATTTTGGGACCACTGTTTTCTCTCTCCCAGAAAGCTTTCCGATTGGATAGTCTCTCCGGAAGCCGAACAACTCTATCTTCTGTTGCCTCCTGCTGAGTGTCTTCATCTACTGAGGTCACTGTTTCTTTAAACGGTGTGTTCTGCAGTGCTGTAAATTGTAGTGTTCTAACCTCTGTCATCTCAGAGGATTTAGCTTCTTGTTTGACACTTGCAGGTTTGTCCGTGGTCCAATCTGCTGCCTCTTGAGAGAGATTATGGGTGTTGCCTGGTTCTATCTGCTTAGGTATCTTCACCTCTTCTTTTTGTGGACTGTGCACTTCAATAGTTTTCTCTTTCTCTCTTCTAAAAATTCCAAGCAGTCTTTGTCTAGGCTTTGGTGAAACAGCATGAGATGAACCTGTTGAGCCACCAATAGATGTCTCTGTTGAGGGGGCCTCAACAGAGACATCAGTTCTTTCTTCAGGCAGCCTTTGGTGATGAATGTTGGAAGTTGGCCAGCCTGTGGAGGTAATCTGGGAGTGACAGTCCTCTTCAGACTCTGTCTCCAGATGAACAAGCTTACCTGACTCCTGCTCAGCAGAAACGAGTCCGGACACTGCAGGGCTTAGGAACGCTGAATGACAGTGCCCCGAGA